CTTTACAATAGTTATATATAATAAAATGTTTCTAGTACCCAGCTTACTAATTAAGTAAAAATATTAAATTTACGATAGTCCATCGACGATATACAATCTTACACGTTTAAACAACTCGTGAAATGGCTCAGCCGGGTGTAGCTTCGCGCAGATACTGTATATGTTTTACTGGACATGTCAATGACCGTTACATCTTGAATTCAGTACATTTCATTAAAACTCATATCAAAATGGCGCTGGTTCATAATGTAGGCTATGTCAATTTCGGCAAAAATCCGTAAAAAAAACGTTTCAATCCGCATTCGGATGCAGTTTGAAGTTTTGGACACGAATGACTTGAGCTACCAACATTTTTGAGGTATCATATCATCTTTCGAATCTCCAAAATGCAACTTTTATACAACAAAAGATGGTTGCTGCGACACTATTGTGACACAACTATCACTGTTTACGCACACATCGTATTAGTATCTAATTATAAGGTTACACCACAATGATCATTTTATATAACCTTGCAGAAAATTAGCTTCCCCTTTGTAAAGTTCTGATTGAGATCCTAGTTTAAACTATTGACGGAAGCTTGCACAATAGTGGAGAGGTTCGGCAGACCCGCAAAACTCAAGAAGCACTGCCCTAGGTTAAATGCATACTTGTTATGCATAGCCGTTTATCACGAAAAATCGTGTTGTTCTGCAATTATTTTTTACGTCATTTCATTTGTATTTCGCAATTTAGTGAAGTTTCGATTTTGGCAGAAAATTTCGTCAGTAGACCCAGTAAAAACCCATTTTACACAAGAATTAAAGCAGAAGTATCCATGCCTTAAGAAAAGACAAGAGAGCTACGCCCAAATATATGGACACGTCGGTTCGCAGTACAGTACGGTTTACCGTACCGTCAGATCACAGTCTACAAATATATTCACACCAAGCGAAGCAGTACAGTAGGACTTCCAACTTTCGCTAAGGCGATACGGTAACGTCCCCGCAGAAAAGAAAACCAACATTGTTGCAATACTGCACGGTAATCGTAGCAAAGTACCGTAAGGACTTCGTTACGAATTATCGATGTTCGATGGCACGTGATCAAAAAGAAGAGGAGTGTCGGCTATGCGTCCGCAGAACGTTCGGTGACGTCATAGCAAACAAAAACAAATCTCACAGAGCTAACAGAAATATTTGAAATAAATAAAAGTAATAGCCTTCTGGAGAAAAATTTCATCTTTAACCAGTGAAAATTTCGAAGCAATCGGTCCAGTAATGAAAGAGAAAAGCGGTTTTTTAGATTTTCCTCTAGATGTCCAAAAAGTGTCAAAGAACAACAACAACAACAAGACAACAACAACAAGATAATATTGAAACGATCGTTATTTCCACTCCGTGTCCAATAAAACTAATAGCGAAGTGGAGTGCATTACTTGCGGACACGATACTTTCGTTTCTGAGGTGAATGAAAGCAAGATTAGTTTACCGTTGCATGTTGACAAGACAAAAATGCATTATTGCATTGTCGTCACATCGTCTATTGTGTATTGTCACTTCCATATTTAAGCCTAGATATTTAGTAGATATATAATGTATATATATCAGGCACGGGTAAAACATGGTTCTACCGAATGATGTGTCCTCCATTTGGGGTTTGGAAATATGGTCACCCAGTGTGATAGACTAGGCTAAGATTCTTTACCGGTACTTTTGAAAACATATAGTTGAATGGCATGAATTAAAAGGATAGTTTGAAACAAAAACTGTATGCTATAGGCAACAACTCGCGAAACCACTCCTAAAATAAATACCGAAAATTTTAGAATGGTAGAGTATGGTAAGAATTTTCCGGGGTCAAAGGTCGGGGAATGGTTCATTCAGTGAAGCGTCCCGGGCCAGATTACTACAGATTTCCCGACCACTGGGATACGCAAACTACCGTACCTTACTGCGAAGACGAGTCTAGCAATTCTTTTGCGTGTGACATCGCCCACGTGATTCAAACCTACGAAAGCACGCAGAGTACAGTAATCAAGTGCACGATGCGCCGAGCAAAATAAGCTTTCACGAAATCGCCCCCTTCGACTTTTTAGCCCCCCTCTGTATCGTTTTCGCCCACCGGGGGGCGATATCACCCACTTTGGGAATCACTGGTCTACTCAACTGGCAGACCGAGGTCCGAATCCGGACCTTTTGACTATTCAATTTGGACCGCGACGGCTTGTTTATTTTGGCAGCACAAGCATCGTTTCATAGGTTCAGATGATTTTGATACTATTTACATACACAGTATGGAAAGATCCTTAGGATGTTTCCCCGACCTTTCACCTCAGAAACGTTTTCCCTATACTTTACTATTGCAAAATTTTGGATGCGTATTTTTCGAGTGTTTCAGAGAGTTGACATTTACAAACTGATATACATCCTCAAAACCGATATTTTTATAAAAATATACAACCGCGTGTCGCTTACGCGCTCATTTAAGCATAGTCTATCGCAGCTTTCCTAGGCCTCTTTTTGATTATTGTTACTAAACTAAAGCATATCGGAAGGCATAATGAAAATTACAATACTTAATTTAAGACTAATTTTCAGAAACACAAACAAAAACTGACAAATAACACGCGAATCGGAAAAAACTCGAATAACTGTCTGAGCGAACGAAGTGTCTGAGAGACTTAAAAAAATTTAATTTTTTTGTTATACGTCATTGTTACGGAAATAAACAAGAAAACGATGCTCGGGAAAACATCCATACAGTTGCCGATGTGCGACATGTGTATCCATATTTGTGAGCCATTCATTGCTTTTGTATTTAATCAATAATGCATTTGAAGTTTCGTTTAGTTAACCAAATAAATTTTATGAAATGTCCGGACCCCAGTAATTTTAAAGTTTTGTAAACGAACCTTTGGTGAAAATAGTTTGAGTGACCCTGCCGCTCAGACACTTTTTTATGCCTGGACAGCTTTCAAAGCAAGGCTGTAAACGTTGTTATGTTTTCGCGGTTTTGCTTGTTATTTGTCAGTTTTCAGCTGTGTTTGTTAAAATATAGTTATGTAACTCAAATTACTCAGTTGTCACGTTAGTCGTTGGTAGTCACTATGTCCTCCGAACACCTTCAGTTTAGTTTAGTATGGTGGCCCATCGTTGTCACGCGTAAAATTGAAAATAAAAATAAAAAATAAAATAAAAAACCGAAAATAAAAAAATTGTTGTAAAAAAACATAAAAATAATTAAAAAAAAAATGAAAAAAAAAAATTAAAATTAAAAATAAATAAATAAATAAAAACGAAAAAAAAAACAAAAAAAAAAATTAAAAAAAAAAAAAATTAAAAAAAAAAAATTGAATAAAAAGAAAATAAAAAGGTTGACAACGATGGTCCGCTTCGTGGCCCATCGTTGTCACGCGTTTTTATTTTTAGAAAATTTGCTTCTTCTTGGGACCAACGTTGTCAGGCATAATCCTACGCGCACAAATGTGTTCTCTGGGTTTCAAACTCACTACTGATTTTCTTGAGCAATATTCAATATGAAAATGTTCTATAAATTCTCCATGCTACAAGTTCAACAAGAAGTAATATATTTATAATAATGATAAGAGAATATAGAATTGAATACGAAAATTCGGAAAATTTGTTTTTACGTGTATAAGGTAATTTAATTGGAGAATGCTGCTTAACTACTCAGTTGTCTGGACACTCGCTATGCCGGTACCGTACCATCTTACCAAATACCGGTAGTCGGTTATAGTCGCTTTGCGTCTGACCGTACCGGTAGCCATACAATCACTCATGTAAGAATGGGAGATACGGATAGTCTCGTAGAATATAGACTACTGAAACACTCTCTGCGCCTGCCCCATACCGTACAGCCGTAACGTACCGATCCAGACAAATGATAAATCGCCAGTGCTCAACCATTTATTTCAATCCATACCATGATCCTAGTAGAATATAGTGAGTCGAGGTATGGATTGAAATAAATGGTTGAGCACGGGCGATTTATCATTTGTCTGGATCGGTACGTTACGGCTGTACGGTATGGGGCAGGCGCAGAGAGTGTTTCAGTAGACTATATTCTACGAGACTATCCGTATCTCCCATTCTTTCACGAGTGATTGCATGGGTACCGGTACGGTCAGACGGTACCGTACCGGCATCGCACGAGTCTCTGAGCAGTTAAGCAGCATTTTCCAATTCAATTACCTTCTACACGTAAAAACAAATTTTCGTATCCAATTCTATATTCTCTTATCATTGTTATAAATATATTGCTTGTGGCTGAACTTGTAGCATGGAGAATTTATAGAACATTTCCATGTTGAATTTATTGGATATTGCTCATGAAAATCAGTAGTGAGTTAGAAACCCAGGAAACACATTTGTGCGTGTAGGATTAAGCCTGACAACGTTGGTCCCAAGCAGCATCAAATTTTTCAAAAATAAAAACGCGTGACAACGATGGGCCACGAGGCGGACCATCGTTGTCAACCTTTTTATTTTCTTTTTATCCAATTTTTTTTTTCAATTTTTTTTTTTTTTAATTTTTTTTTAATTTTAATTTTTTTTTTAATTTTTTTTTTTGTTTTATTTTTCAATTTTTTTTTTAACTCTAATTTTATTTTTATTTTATTTTTTTTCAATTATTTTTATGTTTTTTTTACAACTATTTTTTTATTTTCGCTTTTTCATTTTATTTCTTCATTTTTTTTTTAAATTTTACACGTGACAACGATGGGCCACCATAGTTTAGCTTACGTTTATCATGAAAATTTGATCTCGCAAACCTTGCGAATGACTAACCTAAAATTAGCTTTCATTATCTGTAAGCCGCATGTGAATTATTGTTTTTATATAAAATGTTTTATGATGGTTAGCATGAACTCTCCGTAACACTCACAAAATAAGCCTCAACAACTTGCAATGGTGAAACATGGAAAGAATTTTTAAGGGTCAAGGGTCGCGCAGGATGGCGAAAGGGGGCGTGTCCTTTGCTGTGCCCAATGATAATTCTCATTTCTGTGCCCGATGAGAGAATGGAGAGATAGATAGTTTATTTCGAAAACTCTATAACAAACATAAATTAAAAATAGAGAATTCTGCAGGGCAAGCAAAACCTATAAAAAATTTAAAACATGAGAAGTATCTCATGTGGTTAAGAAGGAGAAGGATAAGTTGCTTTATTACCGATTCAGTAATTTATTTTCGTCGTGCAAGAAACATTAAACATACCGTAGTAAATCAAGGAAAAGAAAAACAACACCAGGCACACAATGTTTCGACTGCAATTAAGGAGGAGCCGCGAAAGACTACGGTATCAAGTCATCGTGTCAGCGACACCATAAATGCTGAATGACGTTAAAAACGTCAAATGATTACAGGATTAAAGTAGATTTAAATATGTCCAGGGGAAAAATTTGAAAAACGTAGATCGAGACGAGATATAGGCTAACTGACATGCAAAAATTTCAACGTTTTTGCCTCCGAATTTTCCACTGCAACGCCAACTGTGTGTGCTAAAAAGATGCTAGAATAATCAGATAATGGGAGAAGTTGATCAAGAAATCCAGAATACAACTGTACATCCAAGACAGCAAAAAGGTACCGTAGCGGTAATAGTTTATATCTTTATCAGTGTATTCACCTTTTTATCCTAGCAAAAAATAAAGCGAGAAATACTGAAATATACACATGCTTTCATAAAAAGTCTGGTCAAGCCTCAGGTACGGTACCGTACTGGTATAGTAGTCAGAATGCTTCAAGTATGATTACTGATTTACAGCGATGTTATGCTATTTTACTTTGCTCATGCTGTATCAGTACCTTACCTCTGTCTGTCTGTAACCTTCAACCACTGGTATAGTATAATAAATAATACTGTAATAAGTAGTCGATAGGCCTACTGCTACAACAGTTTTTGAATTAATGTTTCCTATAACAGTATAAAATGTTTTTTGACTGATTGAAATTGGGCTATAGGTATAGTATTATATCAAAGTACAATGCTTTTGATCAACCATACCACAAAATTACTTTTAAAAATGGAATGATTTGGTAGAAAACTTCCATCCTACTTTTCATCATGAGATTAAGTGCTACTTACTGACTGAAGTTTGTCAAACCCATGCCACAGTTCATCTAAAATCTAGCTATTATTTGACCATCTGACTTTGCAATCTGTATTTTCTATCCCAATATTGCGATTGGTGATGCAATTATTTATAAGTCAATGATCAATGATGCATTCATTTCTCATACGTTTTTATTTTTTTTTAGTTAGCAAATTAATACTCCAGAAATAATAATGAGAATATATACAGGAAGAGGACCAACAGTGCAAGCATTTAAAACTTGCATTAACTCACTCTTGAGCAGAAATATGTCCAATTCTACTGGAGTTAACAAGGTTGTAATTGCAAGTGCGATGCGAACACCCATTGGATCATTCCAGGGTTCCTTGTCTTCCATACCTACCACAGAATTGGGATCGATAGCCATAAAAGCCGCGATCGACAAGGCAGGAGTTCCCATGAATGAAGTGGGAGAAGTCTACATGGGGAATGTACTTCAGGCAGCAGAAGGACAAGCTCCAACAAGGCAAGCTGCCCTTGGTGCAGGATTACCAACATCTACACCTTGCACAACAATAAACAAAGTCTGTGCATCGGGGATGAAAGCCATTATGCTCGCCTCACAGTCACTAATGTTAGGCCATCAAAGTGTAATGGTGGCTGGGGGAATGGAAAGTATGTCTAATGTCCCCTTTACAATGCCTAGAACACCTCCAACATATGGAGGTGTACAACTCCAAGACCTTATTGTTGGCGATGGACTGACGGATGTTTACAATAAATTTCACATGGGGTGTTGTGGTGAAGATACTGCTGAAAAATTCAACTTTTCCAGAGAAGATCAAGACAATTACGCTATATCTTCTTATAAAAGAAGTGCTGCAGCTGTAAAGGCAGGGCATCTCAGTGCAGAAATTACTCCGGTTACTATCCCTGGAAAAAGAGGAAAGCCAGATGTTGTTGTTGCAGAAGATGAGGAATACAAAAGGGTGAATTATGACAAGTTACCAACACTGAGGGCTGTTTTCAAAAAGGATAATGGAACCGTCACAGCTGGGAATGCAAGCACTCTCAATGATGGTGCTGCTGCATTGGTATTAATGACCAGTGATGCGGCAGATCGTTTGAATGTCAAACCACTTGCCAGAGTTGTTTCATTTGCTGATGCAGCATTAGAACCAATTGATTTTCCAACAGCACCCGCTTATGCCATTCCAAAAGCTCTCGACATGGCTGGACTCAAGGCCCATGATATCGCATTGTGGGAAGTAAATGAAGCTTTTAGCGTTGTCGCTCTTGCAAACATCAAATTGTTAGGCATTGACTCTGAAAAAGTCAATGTAGATGGAGGTGCTGTGTCACTTGGACATCCAATAGGAATGTCTGGAGCACGAATCGTCGGTCACTTGGTTCATAGATTGAAACCAGGAGAATATGGATGTGCCGGAATCTGTAATGGAGGAGGTGGTGCGAGTGCTATTGTTATTGAGAAACTACAGTAATCAATTTAGATATTCTAGTTGTTATTTTAAATTATTGCACTTGGTTCATTTTTTGCATTGACTCGCGGAGTCATTTCATTATAAAAGTTCACACTTATTGATGCCTGATGAATGTTGGTATCTGACATCCTCATTATACGCTATGTCTCAAATTTAGCATCTCAATAGCATCTATTTGAAAAATATTGTAGGTCTAGTATAAACTTAAAATATGCTCCATGTGACCCGAAATGAAGCATGGTATATCATTGCGCCATGCGCTGCCAAACACATTTTCAGCTACCTCTTGTAATCTGGTCGAAATCCAGTTTGATAATGCAGCTTTGCAATAAAGAATTGGTTATAAAGTATTTGTGTTGTATTTTTGTAGAAACTGAATGAGACAGTTTGTGATTTATTTTTAAATTACTTTAGCTGGATTCTGTTTGCTGATATATTTTTCCTAGAAGTTTCATTTACCTTTTGCAACCATTTCATGAAGTTCCTTGATATACACAAAATAGTAAGCTTAATAATTGTGTTTTCGGTAGTTTACTTCGTATTTTAAAAAATAAAAATCGAATTAATTGGGTGTGTTATTATTGGTGTTTAACCAATGAAATAAAAGGTTGGAGACTGTGTGTACAACTCGTTTTTTATAGTGCAGACTTACTTCCCTGTCAAAGTTATCCAAGCTACATAAATAAGCGTGCAATTTTCATCATCTCGGCTGGTTCATTTGGAGAAAGGAATATTGATAACGAGCCAGGAAACGTCGTGTTCTCGGTAAATCACTCAAGAATATAGCAAGATGGTGTTGAGGAAGGGGTAGAAATTTATGATTGCCACAAAATTGCATTTCAAAAAAGGATGTTGAAAATTGGAAAGGGTGTGGGGTACACAACCATACCAGCATCTGAGTATTAATTAGTGACTTAAAGTTTGAATAAGGAAAAAATATCTAATATGCGCGTTCCAAAAATGGTAAGGCCAAGAAGCTGAATATTATATACCAGGTCAATGCTCCGGATAATTACATTCGAGAGAATTGCTGGAAACCTCTCCGTTCACGTAACCGCTGGTCCGTCACGGCTTCCTCCACACCATCAAGTCCATACATCTGAAACAAATAACGCTCGCCACCACACCTCTGATTACCTCGCCTGGATTCGCTGGTTTGAATCATGTGGCCTGTCGGGATAATTATGCGGGAGCGGATTGCTGGACTCCTCGTCGCCGTGTTCATGTAACCGCTGGTCGGTCATTTCTTCCTCTCCCATCAACCGGGCGAGGAGCCGTGGTTCGCCATCGCCATATGATCAAGCCGTCTTATCGGTATTCCTCTCCACGGGGATGAATAAATGTATGTCCTACCAGTCTATATCGAGTATGGAAATAGTTCAATCAATCAAATTTATTTTGGTCACTTTGAGTTTGAACCAGCTTTGTTTCCCCGCGAATTTCCTTCCCGAATAAAACTGTGTACATTATCATTTTTTCGTCATTTGTGCTTGTGATATTTATTTTTTACTGGTTGGAAATAAAAATAAACTGGTATATAACAAATCAACACTAGACGGACAAACAAAATTATTAAAAATATTAAACCACACAAAATAAACCCACACGGTACACGTTACCCTGTTATTTGTCTCAGACACATGACCAGCGATTATCTGAACATGAGTTAGTCACGTACCATGCCAGTAAATAATCCCCACGCGATTCGAACCTGCGAATACGTGTCGGGTACAGTGACCAGAAGCGTAAATAAATACTAACACAGTAACAACAAGTGCGACACCGGGATGGAATGATACGGTTTCGCATCTTATCAGTTCATGACGTGCTAACTGCTAGCATATTTACCCTGGGGAGAGGAAAATAGGCGAACAAAACCAAATAGTAAATTCATTTCTAATGCATGGCATTTTCTTGAATGGATAGAGATAATGTGACATTTTTGTAACACAGATAAATTTGAAATATATGAAAGTATTGCAAAATCACCCATCCTCCGCCTGGTTTACGCAGAACTCGGGAGGTTGTCGGCTGTCGCCATCCCGCGGAGCATAAAGTGAAGTTTTATTCTCTTTTTATCTCACTTCGCGAGTCATTTCAGATGCATGGGATTTTATTGAATGAGCGGAGATTACACGGTATTTTTGTGACACAGATAAATTTGAAATAAATAGTATGAAAGTATAGCAAAATCACCCATCTTCCGTCTGGATTTTCGCAGAACTCGGGAAGATGCCGCCATCCCGCGGAGCAGAAAGTGAAAATTATTCTCCTTTTTATCTCATTTCTCGAGCGAAAAGATCAAAGTCCGTTCACAGGTGAATTAGGGTTCACGAAGTCTTTGCGAAATATTTGATTGTTCATTCAGTGCTTGCGTGTCTTCTCTGTTGGGTGCTGTTATCCGGTTATTATTTTTTCCATTAGAAGATAGGCTATTGCAAGCACGAGACATGTCAGTCAAAAAAGGTACGGTACGGTGATGAATTGTGATTAAAAGTAGCTACGGTAAATATATAGTTTAATAAAGTAAATTCGATATCTGTATATGGATACTGAGATATGGCGAGTGCTGGTACAAAACTACAGAAATGGCGAAGATTGACCAATATTTACCCTATAGTAATTCTGTCTCATCCCTGATTTACAGGTATCTTTATTGTCGCTGCCAAGCGAACGGCTTTTGGTACATATGGTGGTGCTTTAAAAAGTCACAGTGCAAATGACCTTCAAGCTATCACAAATGCAGCAGCTTTAACAGCAGGAAATGTGCAACCAGATGCTATTGATGCAGCATATTGTGGCAATGTCATGCAAGTGAGATTCCGACTTTTGAATTGCACAGTGTATTGATGTCTAAGCTAAATGTTGTAATGTTAAATGGTCCTTCTTATTCTGGCAGTCTGGTGTAGTACACCATATACAACACTATGAAATGCATTTCTAAATTGGGGGTTCAGGCCATATGTAAAATCCATTTCCATCTATCAAAAGTTATTCTAAAAAAAATTTTCGTAAGAAATGATTTTCATTGGTAAAAAAATGATATTTGAAACAAAAAATTTAAATTGAACCAGGCCACATTAAATGGGTTCTATGGCCGGACAGTGGCCCGCAGGCCATATGTTTTACTCTTCCGCCCTATAACTGTATAACAAATTTTTTGGGGCAGTGACTAGTGAGTATACATTTCTGGATTTGGGCGTCCAACAATATATTAGATAATTTCGTTGTACATGTGCTCAGAAAAAGACAACTATTGTTGTATGATCCTTTGAAATTATTAAACTTATTTTATACACTATTTAAAATTCAGAGCTCATCGGACGCAGCTTACATTGCCAGGCATGCAGCATTAAAATGTAAAGTGCCAGTTCATGTTCCAGCTCTTACAGTGAATCGGTTATGTGGATCTGGATTTCAATCAATTATTTCTGGCGCTCAAGAAATTGAGCTAGGTCATATAAATATTGCTCTGTGTGGTGGAGCAGAGAATATGAGTCAAGCTCCATATGCAGTTCGTAATATTAGATTTGGTACAAAATTGGGAATGGATCTAAAGGTTTGTTCAACTTGGATTTACACAGTCCATGTTGCGTTTTTCAACGTTTCACTCTTATGAAAATAGCAACCTTGATTTAATGCCCTAGGAAAGTTTAGTCTTGGCTTGTCCTAAATAAATTTTTACATCTTCTGATATAAAATGCACTTTGGACAAGATTGTATTGATTCAGGCTTGAATCCACTATCCTACGAGGCTACGAGTTTAGCAAAGTAGTGTTTGATGGGTGCAAGTTCCTAACCTTAAATTGAGAGCCACCTCGTCAGAGTCTTGAGTCAAGTCAAATCCCAGGAAATTTTAAGTTCGATTTGCTGCTGCTTTGAGCCGAAAGGAAATAATAGGTTCCATAGACAGCAGTAAATGGATATCGATAAATATGAGACATGAAACTTTTCTCGGCATGGTACTACTCAAATCAAACTACAATCTATTCTTTTACTGACAAAATCTACCTCAGCGTCAATATGTCCTATTTTTTAATTCAACATTTGAATGAATATTCTCCAGTTGTGCTATTTCAAAGTCCCACAATTTGATTGTGAGTGTCAGGTCTCTCTGGTGGTCTTCAGATGAGTCTTTTTATAAGTTTTTGAAGGTCAATAAGTCCCCATCTCCAACATTAATTAATACCAATCTTGTTTCTGGTCAGATGGAAGACACTCTTTGGGCTGGCCTTACTGATATGTATTGTAAAACCCCTATGGGAATAACTGCAGAAAATCTTGCACAAAAATATGGTATTACAAGAGCAGATGCTGATGCCTTTGCATTAAGGTCTCAACAGAGGTGGGGAGAAGGTAAGTTTAGAGTATTATTTTTTTGTGTGTGTGCAATTTGTGAGGCTTGCGACTGCAGGAATGTCCAGAACTAAATCTTTTCTAAATTAATTGTATTCAAAATATTCAATTCCGTTTTATGACTAATTAATGATATATTTTTTTCGAGAATTGTCATCTTGTCCAACCGAAATCTATGGCTCGATTCAAAAACTATAGATATCAATCAAATACTTGATTGCCCTAAATCAGGGGTGTGCAAACTGCGGCCCGCGGGCCAAATTTGGCAAATGTGCCCGCGAAACGAGTTTTGTTATTTTTGTACGTGCGAGCAATTCCAATCCCTTTTAGTCGCAAAGCCATATTAGCAAAATATGTCATGTCATCTTGTGCCCGAAACTACGAGAAGTTATATCTTGTTTATCAGTGCATCCCGGGCTTCACTCAATAACTTGAATCTGGCCCTCCTGTATAAAGGTTGCACACCCCTGCGTTAAATGACAGTACCTTGATTGTATGTGTTCTTTATTGAACATGGTCAATTTAATTGAAACGTATTCAATATTTCAAATTTTGTTCAAAATTTACTCTACAATAAATCTCATCATTTATTTAGCACATAAAGCTGGTCGTTTTAATGAAGAAATCACACCTGTTACAATTAAAACAAGAAAAGGACCAACAGACTTCAATGTCGATGAACATCCACGTCCAGATACAACTCCAGAGCAAATTGCAAAACTACCTCCAGTGTTTTTAAAAGAAGGAACTGTGAACGCAGGAAACGCCAGCGTATGTGTCATGCCGCTTTTCAGTACTACCGTAGTATGTGTACCATGTTAGGGTTAGAGCATAATTTGATTTTGATTTTTCTTATTTTAGCTCTATTAAGAGTTCAGGGACTGTCTGTGTTAGCCAAATAAAAATATCTCCTGCCCATAGGTTTCAGTTCCTTTAAACGACTGGATGTAAAATAAGTGAAAAAAATTAGTTATCTCCATATTGGTACACATCCTTCTGGAGCGCACCTTTTTTCGATAACCACCACAAATTTTGATGAAACTTACTTAAAATGATCTATTGTAATTTAGACATCATAATCAACTTTTTTTTTATTGATTACTCAGGGAGTATGTGATGGAGCAGCCAGTGTGATAATAGCCAGTGAAGAAGCATGTGCAAAGCATAATTTGAAACCGTTGGCCAGATTAGTTTCATACAACTCAGTTGGATGTGAACCTACTATAATGGGGATAGGTGAGAATTTGTAATATTGCTTTGTCTGCATTGATATCATATATGCTTTTGGTGTGTAAATACAGTTCGAACACCGCATTCGAACATAATTCTTTCAGGATTGGTGTTCGACTGCCGATTGAGTATCGAATATAGCCTCAGCGTTTTTGACTAGAATTTGTTGGCCGATTACCGAATTTTTAGAGTGTAGATTCATTAGACTACATGGGTATCGCTGTAACTTACTCTACCCAAGCAGCCGTGTCATATGTATGTATAATTTACAGCAGCGTGTCCCAAACTGTGTTCCGAGAGCGTCTTCGAAGTGTTCCGTGGAAAAAGAATTAAAAATACGTCTAAAATGGTCGCCATGACTATCTATGGGACGTGAACTGGTCGCCCAACTGACCTTTCGATATCGCGATCACCGTCGGCCTAAAGTGAACTAATTAGGGTGGGGTAGTGGAATTTCCGATAACCGTGGCTATTCCTCCTCCACCTTTGCCTGGTTTTACCTTGAAATGCTGAAAAAATTTCTCATTTTTGCTAAACTCTATTAAGTAGATAAATGAACTTCTATCTTCATTAGACGTTACATTAGAGGCAAACACTAAGTTAGGGAAAGTAAACGACATAGAATGGTAAAATGAATGAATTAATTTATATACACAGCATTTAGATTAATAAACAATAAAACATTTATATCAAATGCAATATGCAAAATATTCAATCATTTTTTAGTTATGTTTAACATAATTCTGGTGGTTGCATTTGGCAACTCGCCACGAGATTGGGAACCGCTACATTAAACCGTTTTTCTTTATCAATTTTACTCTTTCAATTTTTGGTGTTCCGCGAGGCGAGATAAAAAGTGCAAGTGTTCCGTGACCGAAAAAGTTTGGGAAACGCTGATTTACAGTATCTATGTATTGTTACAGGTCCAGTTTCTGCAGTTAAAAATGCGCTTTCTGCGGCCAATCTCAGTCTTGATGATATGGATCTCTGTGAGGTAATTGGTTACACCGATAATTACAATAAAGACAAGTCAATTAAGGAACTTGTCTTTTATTTACCCTGGAACTTGAACCGTCCTCTTTATGTTACACTATTTCCAGATAAAATGAGAGTTTTTAAAAAAATTGATTGACGTTTGCAGGAAGACCTTATGTGTGAATTACAAACCAATTTTGTTATGAATCTGACTTTCAAAGTTAACCACGAGCATTTCCATAACTTTATAGCTACCCTAACCCAGAACATACCACCAAATTGAATTAATATGCGAGAAATATGGCTCAAATCAGCTATTCAATTGAAAATAAATATCATAAATTCACCCCTGATGTAAAAATTCAATTTTAAGATCTGATTTTTGCAATCTATTTCAGGTCAATGAAGCTTTTGCGCCACAATATCTGGCAGTAGAAAAAGAATTGGGACTCAATCCTGATAAAACTAACGTAGATGGTGGAGCAATTGCACTTGGTCATCCTCTTGGTGCTTCTGGAACAAGAATAACGGCACATCTTGTGCATGAAATGAGGTAGATGTACATATATATTATATATTGCTAGTAATGTTTCTCAAACATGAAATATATGCATGTCACATAAAAAAATAGATTAAATATCTCGTAGGGATCTCTTCTCGTATTTCCTGCGGTCATATACTTAGCTGTACTGCAAAGATTTATTTTATGGAAAAACTGTATGTTATGCTCAGTGTTAGGTGGGATTGTCATCTCACCCTTGTTGATTGTTTTAGTCCAGTATCTAACTGTAAACAGCTTGAAACCCTGTGCTATTTTAGGCGGTCTGGGACACTTGTCTTTATTCTTTGACTGGTAATTTAAAAGATCTCTTCCATCCACCTACCTCCCAGTGGCTCCTGAGTTTATCTAACTTGTTATATTAATTACAGGCGCCGTGGAGTAAAGTATGCTGTTGGCTCTGCGTGTATTGGCGGTGGACAAGGCATCGCACTTATTTTGGAGAATGCCTCATAATTCGTGATGTTTGGCATTTCAGCGTTACTTAATTTTCAACCACTTTCGCTATATCAAACATGGAACGATTAATTAATTTTCACGGCCAAGACTGAATATGATTTAATCCCTCGCATATGGTTATTTATAATTTAATATTTATCAGATTGTTTTTGAAAAATCGTTTGCAATAAAAATCGTCCAGATACATTTTTAACTATGTTTCTACTAGATCGTGGGTTTACCATTTGAGAAGGAAATCGTACCAGGTCGGGGTCGTTCGTAAACGGGCGTCCGTGAGCAGTAGAGATTGAAAAACGAGATTGATGCATTGTGAAGGCTTGGAGCAGCTAAACTACGTTTTTTCTGAAAGAAGCTGGTATACCAGCAGGTGTAGGACTCTGACTAACAGTTTTTGTTAACACAAGGGTTGACTTTACTATTTCGACTCTTACATCAATGGACGTTTACATCCGAGACAACGATTGTAGGGCTCTAACTAACAGTTTTTATTAACTCAAGGGTTGACTTTACTATTTCGACTCTTACACCAATGGACGTTTACATCCCGAGACAATGATTGGCTACATTTCGAGCTTAAAACCGACGGACTTTTTTACCTATGGGCATAAGCATCCACGGGAATATTTACCCATGTAGGCTATATATGTGGATAGATAGGATTCACGGTAAAACGGCTTAATCATATGGTGAACCACGGCCTCTCGTCCTGTTACAGTCCATGTCGGATAGGATAGAATTTACATATGTATCCCGGGGAAGAGGAAAGTGATAAAACGGCTTAACCATATGGCGAACCACGGCCTCTCGTCGGTTACCATTCCATGTCGGGTATGGGATTAATTAGATGGAATTAGTTAGTCAGTTATTTGTTTTCAGATGTATGGACTTGATGGTGGAGAAGCCGTAACTGACCGTCTGTTACGTGAACCACCTTGAGACGGCGCGGAGTTCAACAATCAATGGCTCAACGGGCTAAGCGTTAGGAATACGCTCGCCACCGCACCTCTAATTACTCTGCATGGGGTCGCAGGTTCGAATCCCATGCAGGGATGGTTATGTGCGAGAGGATTGCTAGACCCCTCGGCGTCGTTGGGTGGTTCACGTAACCGCTGGTCGGTTACGGCTTCCTCCACCACCAACTCCATGCTTCCGAAAACAAACTATGTAACTAATCCCATACCCGACTTGGAATTACAACCGGACGAGAGGCTGTAGTTCGCCATATGGATAAGACGTCTTATCGGCTTTCCTTTCCCCGGGATAAATATGTAAATCCTATCCTATCCAATCATCTCGCACATCACCGAATGGGATGCGAACCCAGCGTATTACTAACGCTCAGCACGATGCGCCACACCGCCGATCTATAATAAACTCAAGGACATTTGCAAGAAGAGTGGAATATCTCAAATATATTATGTAAATCTTGAAAATCCAAAATTCTACTTCTCAGAAATAAAAAATATCGTTCCAAATTGCGTCCATGATTGGCTATCTGAGACCGGGTCGTACATAGGCTACCGCGTAATTTGCCAGCCAGTTTTAATTAATAAGTAGTGGGTATTTGTCAGATAATCGTCTCAACTTCAGACGATGTGTTTTTAATCGTGACGGCCAGTCTTTTTGCAAATGACTAATTTCAGTCATGGACACTGATGATGGTTGTGCATCGATCACGATCTGCCAAACGTGCCTTACGGAAATTCAGTCACACAACGTCTTACGCAACCATATTATTAAAGATTCTTGGACATTTGCTCGGTTATTGGCAATATTTGGTGAGCAGTTACAAGACGAGGTCGTTTTGCGTTTGATGCTTAGTTGGGATAAATAGTTCCTTTCAACATAATATGTGTCCATAAGATTGCTCAAGCAGTTTGATCCCAAATTTACTGAGTTGTCACAATTGAGAGATTCTGGAACTTCAAAACATGTCAATCAAAAAAGGTTAGAAATTTACAACTATTTCTAGATCCAGACTGATAAAGCAACTCATGATATTGTGGTCTCTTTATTTCAGGAATCTTTATAGTCGCGGCCAAGCGAACTGCATTTGGTACATACGGTGGGGCGTTGAAAGAACACAGTGTGGTTGAATTGCAAGCGATCGCAAATGCAGCAGCTTTACATGCTGGAAACGTGAAACCCGATGTGATTGATGCAGCATTCTGTGGCAGTGTCATGCAAGTGAGATTCATCTTCTACTTTTTTAGAAACTAGAGCCATACCGATCATTTTGCGTGGTTTTGTCAAAAAAAATTCGTTCACTACCATGCATTCCCGCCTACTGAGAAGCGTTGACAACTAAAAAAGGTGCATCCTTGCTCCTTGACAACTGCATGAATCAATTCGAATCAAAATTATTTAAAATAAAGCGTACGGAAACAGTATGTAGAAGTTTGTAAACCATACTATGTGCTCTAAATTAAACCTTCAGCAACACAGATGACATGCATCAATTTGTACTATCAGAGTGAACTAAACAATATAGTTGGCATAAACAATATAGAATTTTATCATGAATAAATTCACAATTTCACTTTTTGTTAATTTAGTTGGTAAAATTTTCCCATGTTTATAATATCTACTAGTTTACAAAATCCATAGGCAGCGAAATTATGGTTATCACCATGTTTATAATATTATTGTATTATTAGTTCTAGAATAAAAAATTTCTTGCAATTTTCAGACATGCACGGATGCAGCGTATATTGCAAGACATGCAGCATTAAAATGTAAAGTGCCCGTCCATGTCCCAGCGCTCACGGTAAATCGGTTATGTGGTTCCGGATTCCAATCAATTATTTCTGGCACACAAGAAATTGAGCTGGGTCTTATAAATGTTGCTTTATGTGGTGGATCAGAAAATATGAGTCAGACTCCTTATACCGTATATAATGCTAGATTTGGCACCAAACTCGGAATAGATTTGAAGGTATAGAGTTTATTGAGCTCTTTGTTTATCCATACTCTTTTGAGTATAGAAATATTGCCTAAAAGCTGACATTACACTATAATGCTCAAATTTCAACATACTTTAAACATAACAGACTTTCCAAATTTCATGCAGATAAGCAATAAAATCATTGATATTTCATATTACTTACCCACAATTTTGAATGAGCAAAACATTGTCACGATTATTTAAAGCACAGGTCCGTGCTCGTGGTTTTATCATAATCTCTAGAAATCACGTCACGTGTGGCATATCATAGCATGAAATTGCATATGCCATATGTATAATATATCAGGACCAAATAAAACTTTCTTGGACCTTTGTAGTCCACTGATTAAAACGAGCATTGAAATGAATCCGGCATGGATTAGATGGGTGATTTTGAGAATATTCTGCTACTTAGTTTTTCGATAAAGATTGCAAGAGTTTATCTTTGTATAGGGTAGCGTCGGTGGGCCTATTTACGCAGGTACAGAAACCGCTCTGTATTCACATGAATGTTGTAAATGATATTTTCTGCTTAAGATGGAAGATGCACTTTGGGCTGGCCTTACTGATTCATATTGCAAAACACCCATGGCAATTACAGCAGAGAAACTGGCGGAAAAGTATGGTATCACACGTGTAGACGCTGATGCTTTCGCATTAAAGTCTCAAAAAAGATGGGAAGAAGGTGGGTTTTCAAGATATCTTATTATTTAGATGCAAAATCAAGCATATACCATGCTGTCATAGTTGGTATGTTTGCGATCTTAAACTTTGGAGGTCAATCTCTACAAAATATCGGCTGTGAAACTTGGAGAGTCAGTAGTTCTGCGGTTTCAATTCTCAAGTTATAAAATTAATAAATCCGTCGTGTTTATTTCCACATGAAACTCGGTTTGAACAAGTCCGTAAGGAAGGGTTGTTACTGTTGGTCAAATTGGTGTAGTAGTAGTATTTCTTTTGCGTCAAATTACAATCGGTAATCATGAATTAACATTCATCAATCACTCAGCACACAAAGCTGGCCGATTCTTGGAAGAAATTACCCCCATCACAAGTAAAACGAGAGAGGGTCCAAAAGAATTTGACGTGGATGAACATCCCAATCCTGGTATAACGGCAGAAGAAATTGCAAAACTGCCACCGGCGTTTTTAAAGGACGGAACTATAAATGCAGGAAATGCAAGTGTAAGTTAAATTTTTGTCTGCATCGATCATTCAATGCATAGTGTATAAAGCAGGAAAAGCGAATTTAATTTGTGATGCCATTAGTTTATATATATATATATATTACGTATTTTTGATTGGGAATGAACATTTGCAATAATAAGAATCCAACAAGAGAATATGTGAACACGGAGAGCAAAACGAAATATTTGATCACCAATTCCCAAAAATCATATGCGGTAACTTACCAGTAACTGTATCAGGGTACCGTGACGGTGCAGATAGCTTTTCCAGGTCCTGTGATCCCATAAAAAAACGAATGAACGTTCTTCTGAAAAATTAACCTTAAATTAAGAAACGTTTCAAAATTTTAACAGCGACATTGTGGCAAGATGGGAAATTATATTTCAAGCAGTCAACTTTATCTGTCAGAAAAGTAACAGGCGGACATTTATTATGAAAGGCATTAATATTGGCGCGAAATGTAGTTCATGCAAAATACAATTGCTTTTTTGGATGGGTGGCACAAATATTGGGTAAAACTAGCCATTTTCAAATTTTTATCATGTGCGTGAGACCGAAAGATGCGTGACGACTAGGGCTGGGCATTTCGAATCGAATTGAATATAAAATTATTCGAATCGGTTCAGAGCAAAATTTTGAATCGCCGCCATCTTTTTTTTCCACCAATGGTCGAGCTAAATTTCTCATTTTTGGACACGTTTAGTGGACATAACGATCGTTTCAATATTATGTTGTTGGACACGTTTAGTGGACATAACGATCGTTTCAATATTACGTTGTTATTGTTATTTGTCTCCATCATTTTTAAAAAATCGCTTTTCTCTTCGAATACTAGACCAATTGCTTCGAAATTTTCAGTGGTTGAAGATAAAATTTTTCTCCAGAAGGCTATTACTTTTTTTTTCGCTATGACGTCATCAAAATTATTGCCATTGGGTGGCGCTACGTGTCCATATATTTGTTCCAAGCTCTCTTGTTATTGTTATTATTTGTCTCCATCATTTTTAAAAAATCTCTTTTCTCTTCGAATACTGGACCAATTGCTTTGAAATTTTCAGTGGTTAAAGATAAAATTTTTCTCCAGAAGGCTATCACTTTTTTTTCTCGCTATGGCGTCAACCAAATTATTGCCATCGGGTGGCGCTACGTGTCCATATATTTAAGCATAGCTCTCTTGTTTTTATTGAAGCCATATTTTTTCAACGCAATTCAAATATGGGACTCTTTTCTGTAGTGAGTTATTGATGGAAACGTGTTTTTTATTTAACACTCAGCAATCTGCCTGAGTGATGTACTCCATGTTTTCAGTAATTAATGTGTCTGGAAGACCTATATAATAAAAAGTTACATACAATTTATTAAAGTATTCGAGATTCGATTCCTAAAACCTATTTTAGTAAGCAATCAGTACTATATAACTCACGTCATCAAAAAATTCAAGCATTTCTTCCTCAGATAAATCCATTTTCATTCGAAATTTGAATACGCCTAAAATATACAGCAGACGATGCCGTGGTTATGAATTACCCACGCCAACACTAGATGACGCTGTGAACAACAGGTCAGTATACGGCCTTCCAGACTAGTTATATAATGGCTCTGATCTTACTATTGCAGTAATGTAGGTTTTCTTGCAAATTTAGCCTACCGTATTTGTTAATTATGATAAGAGCAAATTGAATTTAGTTTTTATATGCCAGAGAAGAACCGTTCCACGATCGAATAGCAGGCCTACATACAGCAACAGGTACTGCAGTACTGGTAAGGTACCGTACGGTACCGCAGTGAATTACGCTCTCATCTTTTCGTTGCAGTTCTGATGTAAACAACATAAATTTTGTAGCCTACCTTATTTTTTTATTTGATAAGAGGAAATGAATTGAGTTCTTATATGACAAGGCAGAACCGTTCTGCGAACGAATTTCAGGTATTGGTAAGTTACCGTACCGCATCTGATTATCGGGGAATCGATATTTTTTAATTTTGCCCTGGTACCGTAATGAATAAGTGACTTGGATCACTTGGTATTTCAAATCACGTTGAAATTGGAAGTGGGACAAAACAGGCTTTTAGTGGCCGGAATAGGCTACCTGTCAATCAAGTCATCGATCTAGTCACACTAGAGTGATTTTGGCTTGATGTCAGATCATATTGGAAGATATTCTGAACTTGGATAGGACTCTTTTCTGTAGTGAGTTATTGATGAAATCGTGTTTTTTATTTAACACTCAGCAATCTGCCTGAGTGATGTATTCCATGTTTTCAGTAATTCATATACTGCCGGTACGCTACAGAGGTAACGATTGTGGGCATTCACCGGGATAGCCATGAGATCGTTTACATTCTATAATTTTTGGAGCAACAGCTCGTTAAATCAAGAAAGAATTTTCTGAGAAAATTGGGCATTCCATCAGCTTCTTGAATGATTAATGCAAAACACAGGCTTTAATGGTGTGAACAGGTTCACAATACCAGTTCAAATAATACCTGCCATAAACCTATGCTTTAAGAGGTTAATGACGTTTCACACTTGCGAGGGAAAGCGATATGTGTTTTTCATAATGAACGCAGAGCTGCTATGTAGCAACGAAATTGCCTAACGGAGTAATTAGAGAACGTCGTTGTTTAACTCAAGTTAGCGCAGCGGACATGTGAAGAATTGGAGAACATTAAATAAAAAAGCTCATACAATTTTACAGTTCGCGATAAATTCTATCTAATGCCGGAAGCTATCTTTAACTTCTGCAAATATGTCGATATCATATTAGGTTAAAGCAAATCGAAGTTTTTGTTATTTAATTTAAAAGCTTTTCAAAAAAATTTATGTTCATCAATTTTGCCGATTTTTCTACTATAATCGCGATATTTTTTCTCCATCTCATAATTATAATTAGTCTCCTAGCTAGATTGTCTCTCAAACAATACAAAACTTATCTGCATGTAATATAAAGTTCATGAGATATGAGGTTTTAAAGTTGCATAACTCACACGGGATGATACAATAACTATCGCAACTTTCACGAAACTGCACGATACCAGTATTATTCCACTAGGCAAATCGCAAACGAAAAATAATGAATTTACCCAAATAAAATGCAAAACAGTAACAAATTGACGAACGAAATCTTCCGACGAAGCTAAAACAAACCGAGGCTGCTGCGTTCCCGCGATTTTCCGGACACAAATCGGGGTCTCCACTGGGTTTATAGCATTGAGAATGGCTGATAGTCACTTTGGTATCCACCGACGTTCGATGAGCACGAAATCAGCTGATTTGCATTCGCGGAACCGCCACAAGGTGGCAGTTTTGATGACGTCTGGCAAACAAAATACGAATCCGAATCCCATAAAAATCATAAGAATATTTGAAATAAATAAAACTGATAGCTTTCTAGCGAAAAATTCATTCTTTAACCCAGTTGTTCCCAACCACCGTGCCGCGGCAAATCATTCTCCCACGGAATGATTATAGTGTGTGTGTGCCGCGAAGAAATTTTCATTTTTGGATTCATTTCAAGTAATTCCAATTTCCAATAGACGGTTGAAAGTTAGCATATTGACTCACAGACGCGCATTTTAATTTAAAACTTGAAAAAAAGTTGAGAGTAAACTAAGCTGCCCAGGTATTCAGTCGTAATGTAAGCCAAGCACTGAAAACGCTTTTTACCTCGGTTGACGCCGTGAACCTTCTCGCTCCAAAAGAACTCTTAATTATTTTTTTTTTGAATGAAAAGCTTGATAGATTTTGTAAATGCCTTAAAATGAATTGTGGATGTCCAAAATAGAATACTTAAGTGAGATATTTGAACATCTCAATAGTCTGAACAGCAATATACAAAGCAGAAACGAAAACATTCCCACAGCGATCGATAAATTGGTTGCTTTAAAGTTCCAATATGGAAAAATGAATCAATAGTAGATGAGTTGAATACGTTTCCATCACTTCTCAAAACCTGCTTTCCCGAGATGATTTTCATTATTGATGAGCATTCAACATGTTTAGAAAATAAAATTCATGAATATTGAATCAATATTGAAGAATTTGATTGAATTCGCAGTCCTTTCTTAGATTTGTTGGTCACAAATCTCTCCGATTTTTGCTGCCATTAGACGCCTTCTTGATCTCTGTTATGGAAGAGTAACCAACTTTAAACAATAAAGTTATCAATGTCTTCATGGGTGGAAAATGTTCATTTTTGTGATAGGTGTGCCTCGAATATTTAAAGAGCTCAATAGTGTGCCGCTATATAAAAATGTCTAAACGGTTTTACAACTGAAAATTTCGAAGCATTGGTCCAGTAGTTAAAAAGAAAAGAAATTGTTTCCGATTGAATAGGAAAGAGGATATCAAGAACAACATAATAGCAAGAACAATCCATAGGTCCACCACGTGTCCAATAAATAGCAGCATAGTTGATACAGATTTACCATTTGAATTACTTGACGTATTCCGAGTTTTGATTAGAAATTTTTTCGGGTAATTTTTACATTGTAGGCTATCAATGGAAAATAAGGATCTAGTGATCTGATTGGTTAAAATGTACGAATTGGTGGCGAACAGACATAAGCGACACATTGTACAAAATATTGTTGTATATTGACGGGTTTCTACCCTAGTCAGAATTTAAAAACTGCTTCCCAACATATTTGATCTTATTTATTCAGGGAGTATGTGATGGAGCAGCCAGTGTGATAATAGCCAATGAAGATGCATGTACAAAGCATAATTTGAAACCGTTGGCCAGATTAGTTTCATACAACTCTGTTGGATGTGAACCTAGTATAATGGGTATAGGTATGAATTTAAGACATTGGTTATATTCAACGAATATTTTTACCAATATATATTATATATATATAATTACTCCGATCTTCAGTCAGGATAATATATTAACTTTATCACAGGACCGGCTCCTGCGATTCAAAATGCACTTTCCGCGGCTAACCTCAAGCTCGAAGATATGGATTTATGCGAGGTAATAAGCTACGTAACCGCTTTTAAAAGCCCGCGGCTATGAGTAGTAGTTGATCTCTTTAATTCGCAGAGTCATATTTTGGATAAGCAAAAGTCCAAGTCAAAGTCAAATACTTTAATTGACCTGGTAAAAACTTGTTAACGTTTTCGTAGTCAAAGTTTTGTTAATTTTGTTTGAAACCGGTTATCAAACTTGACAGTCTAATTCTATTTTTTAAATGGCTACAATTCTAATTTGGATAGAACTTGTTTCTAACGTCACAGCCCTGTTGACAGCATTGTCACTGTTTCACCATCATTATAGCCAACCAAATACATTTATATTTACAAAAAATGTCTGCGAAAAGTTCAATATTATGATTGTTGTGAGCAAATATGTCGGCATGTGCAATGAAAAGAATTTTCAAATGCCATTGAATAAGTCATATTGGAGAGAACAATTTAAAATTTAGTACGAACATTTTTTTTTCCTAATACATACGCCTCAATAATCAATATTTTTTTAGGTCAATGAGTCTTTTGCTCCCCAATATCTGGCAGTAGAAAAAGAATTAGGACTCAATCCTGATAAAACTAATGTAGATGGTGGAGCGATTGCACTTGGTCATCCCCTTGGTGCTTCTGGAACAAGAATAACGGCACATCTTGTGCATGAAATGAGGTCAGATCGCTTTTACTATCCATTATGTTTATTACAATTTTGCATCATTTATTAATCGAAAATGCATTTCTTTGTCAATTTCATGATTGAGACGTGATTTAGTGTTATATGCGCATAAATTGTATTACAACACTTATTTAAAGCCATGTCCTTTTGTCATAAACTAAGCATAATTCAATCAGAGTTTCTGTAGGTTGATTCTCATGGCGTCTATCAAAGACGTCTATCGTCGTTTAAATTCAAGATGCATATAAATATATAATGATAAATGCCCAAATTATTATTTTATTTGCAGGCGCCGTGGAGTAAAGTATTCTGTTGGTTCAGCTTGTATAGGCGGTGGACAAGGCATCGCACTTATTCTGGAGAATGCCTTATAATTAGAATGCATACATTGATATTTTTCGCTCATCCGTGGGACGTATGATAACGAGCTCGATAAGTAACCGTTCACCCATTATGAAATTTGTCTGAAATAAAATAAGAAGAGAAGACCTGATATTTTCACAAATTTTCTTCTAAGTAATTTCTATATCAGAGATGAGCCATAACCGGTATTTAATTTGTCCCATCTTCCCTCCTTTCCTACATAAGTTGCCAAGAACAATTGACTGGTGTAAGCCATGTCCCACCCTTCAATGGTATAGAACAAGAGGGACTGGTGAAACATGTGGGACACGACATTTCAGAGGCACCCGTGACGATATGTCGCGGACATCAACATGCAAACAAAATCCAAGATTATTGAGCATGTCAATCTGTATCTGTACGTAGTTAGTTTTCTTAGTTATATGACAATATGCGTATTTCGGTCTGAATACTCTATAAACTGGAGACTGTTCACAATGCAAATATGTATAAAATGATTTATCAAAAGAATTATCCCTGCATTGTGTACACAAAAATTTTGCTTTTGAGTAAATAGAAAATATTGTAAAAATCATACGTAATATTATACAATACACAATCAGTATCACGAGTGACTATTTTTACGTAGTAGCAAGGACGAGGTACCTATTGATATTACCTAAATCAAAGTTAGGAATGGAGAAAACATTGCGTTGTTAGTTGTAGTGATTTAAAGCTAACATTATCCAAATCGAACCAAAATAGAATAGTATTGCCCAAAATAATGTGACTCAAGTGGAAACTATAGGAAGTCGGATTTTTTGAAGTCAAAAGGCACTGGAAAGAATTTAGATCTTCAGTTTGGTGGAAATATATACCTTTACTTTATTTGTATAATAATTTTGTTACAGCAGTTTTACTACGTCACTATACAATATCGTTCAAATTATCAACTTTAGTGTGAATGAAAATAAAAAGCTCGTTCTAGAGTTAAATAGAGTTAAATTCCTAATAACGTAACGCCAATAATGTATGTTCATGTAATATTTCCGGGATCATCTAAATTCTAAACATGGTATATATACAATATTGTATATATATAATATAGATAAGGTGGTTTTAATCATAAATACACCAATATATGAAATTTTCCTATGAGCAAAATGGAATTATCAAAAAAATTGATATGATGAGAGCCACACACACACATATATTTATATATATATATATATATATGCTTTTAAGTTATTGAATTATTAGTTGCTATTCTCTGTATTGTTTAGTTATTAATACAAACAGAGATTTGCAATATTTCAACAAGCTGGAGTTGTAATTTAGGTTTAAATAAATTTAGGGATAAGTGAATAACCGGAGAGGCCTATCGGAAAATAACACTCTGAAAGTCAATAATGAAGAGCATACTCTTCAAATGTGTCATATTTGCTGCATTTTATACACAAGGTAACTTGCTTACACGCTAAGTTCAGATGTCGGTATTTATGTACAGTATTTGATTTTAGTATAGAATTTTGTACATATGCCCCGAAAAAGAGAAAGCCAAGATGGCGGCTTAATCAGGTTATATATTTTTCCGGTTATCAAACAGGTATGGAATCAGTTAACGGTTTATTCTTTGCAGTGCTTTAGCCCTGTCGATAGAGAAACCTTGATGAGAGAATAAAATATGGTAATTTTTCTTGTGAATATTATAATACAGGGTTGTCCAACCCAAAGATTTCCGAGTGGTCCGCGCGGTATTATTCGACTCCGGATGTCATTCACAAATCTGAGCCACTTTTGAAACCTCTCATGAAAAATTATTCCCTGTCGTTCAAACGCGCGGGAAGTACCACCCAGCTATCGAAAGCTTTTTAGGTCTTTTTGTGGTCGTTATTGCTGGAAAGAAATGTTTCAATTTATTTTTATCCTCTGCCATGTGTTTCAATTTTTTATCACTGATTTCTGAAAGTCATGTATATCGAAAATTCGCTCCGCATTGCTACATCGTACCGAATATTGACAAACTGGTTGGATTGTTGTATAAAAGCAGTGTCATACTCCACATCGAAATATCTATGTGCGGTACTTGGCTTTACTCTATCTTTGTATTTTCATTGTTCTTATAATATTGGTTTGAAGGTTTTATTTGCTTTTTCTATTAACCTGTAGTCGGTGTAGTGAAAACTAGAACATAGCTATCATGTGAAGTGGCCCGCGCTATCATTCGTAAATATCCATAAAGGTTGGACAACCCTGTTATAATATCTCCTATAGCGTCACATACACAGGGCAATCGTCAATGTTTCGGCGACAGTGCTGACAAACACGACGGGCCTACTAATACGCTATTATTCAATATGGAATATTGGCTTTTACAACTCTTATACGACGAAGTACAATAAATATTCATGATATCATGTTTGCTTTGTGCGAGATCTAATCCGTTTATACACAAATGTACGGCATATATTACATACATCTCATCCAACCACACTAAAAAATCGTCTTTTAGGAAATATGATTGCATTGACTCTCATTGTAGACCAATTTTGTGTCAAATCATATTTGTTGAGATCATAAATCATTTATTTAACGGATTTTTGCTCAATGAGCGCCATGCTTTCACATCACGCACGTCGAAAATAGGCTGACGATAGTTCTATTCCAAATATTTTTGGCCTCCCATTTTGTTCATATATATTTTTATTCATCGAACTTTTTGTTGCATTATAGGTTGTACAATAACGTGTTATGATTGTGTCGATTGTGCTTTTGTAAATAACTCAACCACAGTTGCATCGTCAGAAGATGATCCTTCGATACCCGACAAACGACTAGTTGATGCTTGTTTCACTTTCAATGGTCGAGTCAGTGGTTGGTAAAAATACGTTGTTTTATGTATTTGTCTGAATAGAATGTGTATATATCGTTATTTGAAATCGATATAAAAAAAATGTTGGTCTAAACTAAAGGGATTTAAATTTCGACGATTATCATTTTCCCGTCCACATTTGTGATTGGTCTGTTCATGTCAATTTCCACATTCTCGAAAAATTCTACTTTAATACCATTTTCCAGTACGAAGCTATTCCAGTTTTTTGGATACTTTCAATTTATTATTTTTACACGTCTAGAATGTGGAACCGGATCCCAAATTCTCACCACCATCCAGGGCGCTGATTCAATGACGTGATCATCAACTCATTTTGAATAATTACTCTGAACTGATAAAATTGCAGATACCAAAAATCGAGGCAAAAAGCGCCACGTTTCCATGAAAAAATTAAAATAAAATGTATATGAAAAGTTGTACTTATTAATAAATGGGATGTGGATCCAGAACATTAGGTTAGTACAAAAATCCAGGAAGTTAGCTTCACTTATCTCGTTAAATAGGAAGTTAACAACAAGGAGAACTCGGGGTCACAAATGTTAAGTTTCCAAGCTTTAATAATATACATATTTGTTTGCAGGAGTAAGAACTATCATACGAGGATATGGATGGTCATTAGGAGAATTCTGTATAGAACAAAACCAACAAGGAGCAGTTGGAGAATTTTGCTATTGCTATAAAGGTAGGTTGAACCTTTCGAAGATAATCAACGAGTCAATGAAGAAATTTTGTTTTTCATTTTAGATTTCTGCAATGAAGCGTCCAAGCTGAGTTATCATATTGAAGCAATGATTCTTACTTCTGCAGTTATATGGAAAATAGTTGCCTAAAAAAAGAGTGCTGTTCTTTTCCAATCAATTAAACTAAAATAACCGTGACACAATAGTGCAATTACTAATCTTGAATTATGGAAAATAAATATGTGATCGATACCGTCTTTTGTATCTGATTTGAAAACAGAAACAAAGTTATGAATCAGAATTTAGGACCAGATCGCGATATTTCGAATCTACCATGCTGTTTAGTCCAACGTGTAAAAAATTTAAAAAAAAACTCTAATAAAAATAGATGCTATTTGAGCAACAAAATACCAACATATATTTACTTTAAATAATTTTGTATTCAAATTGGGTATAATATAAAAGCTAAAATTAGTATTTTCCTATTCGTCGACGCACAAAAAACACACAAAAAAAATTTGAAACTCACTTTGACTTTTATTCTAAATATCTCATTAGATATATACTATCTTATCATAAAAATTGTTTTTTATTATTTATCAAATATTTGAGTTGAAACGTCTAGGGCTATAGCACTTTTCAACCCAATAGTCAGTGTTACAAATACAACTGAAATTTGTCGAATGCGCAAAATACGGATCAAAACGATATATAATCGGGCAGTTTACCACACATTTTTTTTTTATGTACGCGGATTGTCGTGGTATATAAGAGTTGTGAGGATTTTATTTTATCGACGCAACCGCAGGTTAAATTTAACACAATTAAATTAATAAAGCAAGACATTTTAAATATGCCCGTATCGGTTACGAATTGATTACTTTGCACAACAAAAAAACCGGACCTCCTGAAGTATGCGCACCAAGATGGCGCACAACCTGAACTCAGGTTGTGTACCAGGATAGGACTCAGGTTATGCGACATCTTGGTGCGCATACTTCAGGAGTACCGAAAAATCATTATTCGTTGTAAAAGTCGGCTCTATGAATATGTAATTTTTTTACTGCTGAACTTTATATGCATTTTCATTGTATGAAATGAAATTGTACTCTACGGCATTTTATATCAGGTATTGAGATTTTTCTAATGGCGATAACAGGTTCGCAAGATTGCAAGAAATACGTATTAAAATGAAATACATCAGGCAGTTTAGCTCATATATTTTTATGTCCACAGATCGCCCTGGACCGATCAGTGATGTTCTTATTTTGACGTAAGAAAAAGCAATTGCGAATTACGTTGGACACATTAAATTAATATATAATGACATGTTAGAATCTGGTAGTTGTCATGAATTGAATATTTTACGCGACAGGACGATCATTATACGCCGAAAAGACTGCTCGTTAAACGAGCGCGTAATCGCGGTGACTGTTACAGACGACAATGAGAATTTCCGATTTTGACGAAAACTGCAGATTCGAGAGAAAATACTAAATGTTCTGAAAATTTACAGCAGTTGTTGTGTTACCATTTAGGCTAGTTGTAAATCGAAATGCGGGAGGGATTTATGGTTAGACCATAACACAGGGGTCGGCAAATGAGGCCCGCGAGCTAATTTGTTGCTGCCCTCGAACGACCCGACATTTAAGACATGAAACAAAAATTGATCCGAAAATTATTATTGTCGCTACACGGATTTATGTGATAACAAGTGCTGCTGTACGCGCTTGTTTTGTAATAAGTAGCGTCAGTTGTATGCCGTTTGAGGTAATTTTGATTTTTGAAATTTAAAAATGTCTGAGAAACTGAGGAAAGTTTGCGACGAGGGTAGAACTTTCTAAAGTGCTTGGACGGAAAAAAATTTCTTTCTTGTGCAGTCAGCACCGCAGAAATTGACGGATTTAATGTTAAACTCGTTACGAAACGTGTCATCGAAAATTCGACCTCGAAACAGCTCATCTGTGCGACAGTACAGAAGTGTAATCTACACGTTCGGAAGCGCATATTGCTGTGAGCAGCTCTATCTAAAATGCATTACACTTGGAATAAATTTCGTACTAGCTTGTCAGATGGCCATTTGGACGACGTACTGCGGGCAAGTTGCCATAAAAACATCATCCTGCACATTGGTAATAAGTTAATAACAATGCATTGTTGGATAATATATTGAAACACGCCACATACACAACTCATTGTGGCAGGCTTTCAACGCGGCAATGAAAGGTGCAAATGCGCCATAATTTGAAGTTTAATGTGGCGATTGTTCAAAGGCGAAAATATTGCGACCCGCGCGCTATCAAAAAAAGTTGATATTCGGCCCGCAAGTACAAAAAGTTTACCGACCACTGCCATAACAGATACCAGTAGGGATATCTAACCTAGGATAATAGATCCCCCATTTGATTTTCAGATTTCTATAAAGCCTTTATTATTAGCGTACTTCCGCGACCGAAATAAAAGAAGTCCAATTTAGGTTAACCAAGCACAGTATTCAACTTCGCTGTTTGTTTCAGCTAGGCATAAAACTAGTCAATCCAGTGACATTATCGATGTAACAATATGTCAGAAGAGAATTCTGGTTATTTTCAGGACAAAACAACACCAAAAGCAATTTTGTGATTAACCCCCAGCAAATGTGACGCGGGTCACTGATAATGATGCTGCATGTCACATCATGTGGCCCGCGGGTCTAGGTGTTAATCACACTAAACTAGAAAAAAGAAACCCGTCAATCTGCTTACCTACTAAACGAGTGCTTCCTATTTAGCCTCAAGCTAATTAATTTTTTGTAGGCTTAACCAGTAACAAATATTTGAAACCGGTTCCTGAGCTTACAGTTTAAATTGGCAAAGCTGAATTGGAAGTCATGAAGATTTTGGAAGTCGTGCTTTTTCTTGCGGTAACATTACCGCAAATTAACAGAATTTCGGGAACAGGTAAGAAAAGTTCCAATTGAATTAGTCTTACGAAAACCACGGGAATTTTACATTGTTATATATATATTGTTATTCTTTTTTAACTCTTAACTATAAGTCAGTTCTAATGAAATATATATGACAACGTAGGTTCTGACGAAGTTGCCAAAAGCGTTTGCTGAAAGAGATTTCGTTTAAATTACCGGTTTACATAAAAAATAATCATGATACGTGAGTGTGCTCTCATTGAACTTCTTTGCAGATAGTAGTTTAACTGTTTTTTTTCTTTCTTTACGGCGTTTCAAACTGTTCTGAATCAAGGTCTTTATCATTTTAGTTACAGCACACAAACACGATAATTAAACATGGAAAAATTTAGCTAACTAACATATAAACTATAGAAAATAAATCACAACAGCAAATGCTGTTAAGTTTTGTTATTAAAATATTGTACTTTTCAGTTCCAGGACGTTGTCAAGACGAAAGTTGGGCACTCTTTGAAGGGAAGTGTTATAAAGCATTTGGTCCCGCTGTTAGTTTGGGCGGGTAAGTATTCTTATAGAAATGTTTATAGCAATGATTTATTTAAACAAGAGACGTATATAGAATGTATTCTGTAATGAACTAAAAATCATTTACATGAATTTTTATTTGAAGATAGCCTACTTGTCGTCTATTGCAGCTACAACTCATTGACTATCTTTTTATATATATGACATCAATCAAAAATTGTGAAATTTTAATCTCTTTCACTTTTATCGTGAATTTTACAAGACATTTAAACGTTGGCGCACGAGATTCTATTTACAATCACAGCATTTT